TCGCCGAGGACCGAGGGTAAATATACACCCCTAAGAATTGACTTTTTTGTAAAAAATGGAAGAAATCTGGCTCCTTGACCTCCCAAAAATCTAAAAATTTTCGCCTGCGGCGCAAAAAAGGATAAATCAGGCTATCCCAATCCAACTCTATCTAATTTAATTCTTCTATATTCGCCAAAATGAAATTATGAGACCCCATATTCTAACCATTTCCCCAGATATAACGTTTCTCCTTATATAACCCTCCTTACAAACCCCCTGCTATCCTCCTTAATCCTGCAAATTTCCTTAAATCCAATTAATTAATATCCTCCTTGATTCCTCTAATTCCATCAATTTTCCGATATCCGTCTAAATCAGGCTAGGCACAATTGCGGATTGCGTAAAATTGCGTGTTTTTTGACTTGCGGATTGCGTATGTGGATTTTAGAATTAAAATTGCGAGTTGCGGATTTGCGGATAAAACCGCAAATTTTCGGGTCAATTTATCGGTTCAAATTCCTTTATCCGTTATTAATACACTCATATCTATTAGAACCCACTTAATCAATTAGACCCCTTTTTATCGTTATCAATCACTCAAATCCACGTTTGCCCCCACCTTAATATCTCCTTAATCCCTGACAAATTTTCGGTTCAGTCGGTTAATTGAAAATTTCGGTTCGGTTTGCCAGTTCAGTTTCATGTTAATCAAATTTAAAATACAGTGATTGAAAAAAGCTGATTAAAGCTTTGACATTATTTTATCAAGGATTTGAGCCTCGCTATCTATATTGGGACATCTCCATCATATTTATTTCTAATCATTTAGTGATTATTTGATAAAATTTATTAAATTTAAGAGATTTTGAAAAGTTATAAAAATTTTTTTAAAAACCTCGGTTATCCTCGGTCCTCGACCTCGGTCTCGGGTCAAAATTTGACCCTCGACCTCGATCTCGGCTTTTCCACCCTCGGTGATCCTCGGCCTCGGGTTTTTCGAAAAACCTCGACCTCGTGCTAATCTACATACAATTAATCAGAAATTGAAAATTAATTTGGCACAATAAGAGTGATTGAACGGTACCTACTACCGGTTAATTAATTTTTAATTACAATAATTTTTAAAATTAATTTTTGACTTACATTTGAAAATATTTTTTTGTAAAATGATCCAAAAAATTATTTGGATATGTTGACGCTTTAAATATATCAACTAGCAATTCAAGAGGCATTGAATTGTTTTCTTTTTTATTTTTTAATAATTTTTTTGAATTAATTTGTTTTTGTTGTTTTGGATTCATAATTCTTTAAATTTTAATTTTTTGATTAAAATATTTTAAACAAAATATTTTTTTTTAATTAAAATGAAAATCTCCATTAATATTTTTAGTATATATTTTGTTTCACCCGCCTCTTTTCTTTCCTCGTAAATACTCTTTTCTTTATCCAATTCTTCCTTTGTGGTGGAGGAAAGTGAGGAAGTGACTTATAAATAAAATAAATTTGAAAATAAATATTTAAGAGGGAAAGAAAAATAATTTAAATTTAACACATTTTTTGTTAATTATTATAACAAAATAATTATTAAGATTTAATATACATATAAATAAGATAAGGATAAATAAAAATAGTGGATAAAATAAATGCTGTGAAAATTTATGTAATGTTTTTGAAAAGCTAAAAGTTAAAAGTTTTTAAAATTTTTTAAAGTTTTCTTTTATATATTCAGTTGGAAGGATTTTTATTGTAACATGTACAATCTTTTTGAAGAGCTAAAATTTATTGTTAATTTCCCCAAAAAGTTCTAATTCTCACGGCATTCGTCAAAGAAATACTAGCTCTTTGCCACTTTAACGCAGACAAAGACAACCACTTTAACATCTACAAGCTCATTCGAAAGGGCTCCTCGAGCTGAGTCGATTGGCACTAAAATCGCCGTGATTGGACAAGTTTGGACTGAGATACAGGGCTCGAAATGGTCAAATTTTTGGGGGGAATTTCACTTTCATTATTAAATAATAATTTGGGGTCAACCCTGAAGACCTACACCCCCAAGACCTACACCCCCAAGACCTACACCCTGAGGACCTACACCCTGAAGACCTACTGACCCTGAAGACCTACACCCTGAAGACCTATTTACCCTGAAGACCTACAACTTTTTGATCAACTCAAACTATTTATAGTAGGGGATATCGATGATACCAGAAGATCCTATTTATCCCTATAAATCCCTCTGTCCACTTTAAAACCTCAAAATCCTCGATATCCCCCTCAATCCATCTTTATCTCCTTTAAAACCTTCAAATCCATCGATATCCCCCTTAATCCCTCCTAGTTTCTCTTTACCTCCTATAAATCCCCCGATTAGACTTGTAAAGAAATAAAAAATAAAAATTGTGTTGATCAAAAAGTTGTAGGTCTTCAGGGTAAATAGGTCTTCAGGGTGTAGGTCTTCAGGGTCAGTAGGTCTTCAGGGTGTAGGTCCTCAGGGTGTAGGTCTTGGGGGTGTAGGTCTTCAGGGGTGGACTCAATAATTTACCTAAAAATTCTAATGGAGGAAGAAGGCAATTAAACAATGTTAAAAATTATTGTAATTATTGCAATAAATGTTTAAATATTTTAATTGAAGAATTAAATATTAAATTTTGTTTTGTTCAAAATAAAGGTTAGAAAATAATTTTACTTTTTTCCAGTCTTTGCTTCCAAAAATTTCTACGGGATTAATTCTTTCAGTAGTTACTTGCTCAAACAAAAAATTAAAAGAGCGATTTATTATTACATATTTTGACTAATATATGTATGTGATAATTTAACTTAGCTCGTTGAGCCGTGTCGAATGTGCTATTATTTGTTGATGATCGGACGATAACTTACTACAAACAGTATTTTTCGGTATTTTGGTTATTTTCCGGGTGTTTTATTGGTATTTTTATCGGTATTGTGGTACTGAATGAAATTCCGATTACTACAAGGAACTAATAGAGGGGGCCGTTATAAGTATTGTTTTTTCATCTAAATCAAATTAACAGTAAATTCAACAAAACATTAAAAGAAAGAAACTTGTATTCAAAACAAACGCGAAATAAACAAAATATTAAATAAAAATTTGTTGGGCTCTGTTTCGCGTTTTTCTTCTTTTGATTGTTTTGAAACAAATAATGAACAGAAGAAAATTTGTTGGTGTCAGTCTGGGTGGGAATTTTAAAATAATTCAAAAAATTATTACTTTTTAAGTTCTTCAACAAATTTATTATTTCAATCAACTAACAATCAAAATAAAAGAAAAAAAATATTTCATGGAAGACGTCGAAAAAATTATCATTCTTTAACCGAAAATAGCAGTAGTGATTATTTAAATTTAATTAATTTTTGGATATTAATTAATTTATTTGGAATAATTATGTGCCTAAAATTGTTTTAAATTTTTTAAATAAATAAAATTTTAAATATTTTTGTTTTTAATTAAAATTTTTATGGGGTATGCTGAGGTAAATAATAATCAGCAAATTGGAATTATATTTATTTAAACATTCAAATAAATAATTATTTTTAAAGAAACTTTTGTTTCTAATTTTATTAGCGTTAAAAAACAAATTAAATAGAAATCCCTTAACATATACAGTCATCGACATAAAGATAGGGGCAAGAGTAACTGAAATGAAAATTAACCATTTTCTCAGTCAAAAAATTATTTTAGGGAAAATTTTTAATTTTCTTAAATACACCATTTAATTCTCTATTTAGTGAGTATAAATTTTGCCGGATTAATATTTTATACTACAAGTCTAAGCCGAAATAAGAACATATATAGAACATATATTTATGAACATACATATATGAACATACATATATAGAAAATATATTTTAAAGCTTATTTTAATTTTTTTAAATAAATTATTTTTAATATATTTTTTAACTCTTAGAGATCATATCCCAAACATTCGAGTACATCCCTTAAGTCGGGGCTCGGGACATTAATTTTCCCCGGGATTCGGGGCATGACAAAATAATCAATCACTTCAAATTTATCAAATTTAAGGCAAAGTATGCTTGGAATTTGTGCAGAAAGTTCTCGTTTAGACTCACAACAATTAAATAAATTATTTGAAGTTAAAAGAACTGCTTGGAATTAATTAATAAAATTTTTTTAGCTCTTAGAGATTTTTTAAAATATTAGAAATAATTCTATTTTCTGGAAAAATATTTTATATAAAACTTAAAAAATATTTCAGCGGTGTATTTCTTGTTTTATTTTTGCATTTCTGATTTAATTACAGAAAAGAATTTGAGCTTAAAAAATGTTTTAAAATAATAGACAGTAACTATTAATAATTTATCTTGAAGGAAAATAATTTTCCTTTTGTAACCTCCAACAGAATAAAGAATTGACGTTATTTTTAAATAAATTTTACTGATTATAAAAAACTTGGAAATTATTTATTTGTTTAAAAATTAAAAGAATGTACAGCCTGTTTCAATATTATAAGAAAAATCTGTCTCGATTGAGAAATCTCTGTACAAATATTTTTTCAGAATTTCAGTGTTCCTTAAAAATCTTTTGTGGTTTTTGTTTTAGATGGAGAAATACTAGAAAAAATTCCTGTAAAGAAAAATTAAACTATTACTGGTTTTTTTTCGCCAAAGAAAATCAACCAAAAATCAGCGGAAATTTCCAAAAAATTTTTACCCCCCTTTAAGAACTTAATAAATATATAAATAATATTGAAACAGACTTTAAAAATAAGAATGTTAAAAGTTAAATATAAAATAAAAGAAAATTATTTTTTAGAAAATAAATTGATGAATAAACTTAGTTCTTATTTAAGATAACCTCTGATCGTCTCATCCGGAATAAGCGGAAACATTGCAACATTACAATCATCTGCCATTGCTTTCTAAAAAATGTTTTATTTATTGTTAGTTGAAATTTTAGGTTTAAATAATTTTTAGAAATAAATTTTTTTCAATTTAAATAAACTTTAAATATAAACTTACGAGGCTGTCATACACTTGCTTTAGATAAACAAATCCTCCTCTGATTCTTCGACATCGCTCGTTGTAAGCCAGCACTCGTTGAGTAGGATAAACCAACTTAAAATATTAATTTAATGGAGATACCAATATTAAAATTATAAATTATTAGGTTGAATCTATAAGTATATATTCTAAACAGTGAAAATATAGGTTTCAATAAACTCTACACCAATAAAGTTATTGATCCAACTTTACAAAAATAGTCGAAAAAGAATTTCTACAAAACCGTAAAAACCAAAAATCAAATTACTAATCTAAAAAGAAATATTACCTGGTTTCTAAATGATCTTCCAAAAACATTATATCGTTGCTGTACATATTCGTGAACAAGCTTATTATTATTTTTGACTATAAAACATTTGTCCTAAAAATAATAGTTAATTTAGTAAATTAATTTATGTAAGATGTTTTAAAATTGATAAACTCAAAACAAATAATTACTTCATTTAGGGACCCTCAGCCCCGACAAAAATCAAAGGGCTCGCAAACATAAATATTAAAAATTTGTAATAAAACGGCAAACCAATTTTTCTTCTGTGTTTCTTCCAATTAAAAAGTCGAAGAAACGTCTTTTTTCAGCAGAAATATTAGTTTGTTCGATCTCAGATGTCTGTTGATTGAAGGCATAGCTCAAAGTAGAACCATTTATAACAATTCCCTGTAATTTTATTTTTAAAAACAATATATAAAATAAAAAATATAACGTTGAATTTTCTTTTTTTATTACTTATTTGCCCCATTACTACAAATGCTAGGGGATTAACCAAACTTAAACGAATTTATCGAAGACCGAAAATTCATTTATTCGATTCGCTTTTGGATGTTTTTGAATCTCAAATCTTTAAGGTTTCCTAGGCTTAAAGAAGAATTTGATTTGGAATTTAAGTTTCATGTACCCGATAAAAAGACAAAAAGATTTAAATAATCAGAACTGAGTTTGTGGATTCAGGAAAAGCAAAAAAAAATTTATTTTACTTAAATATAGATTAAATTTAGTATAACCGACATATTCAAATTCATTTTCAGGGATTCTGGAAAAATTATATAACTATAGAAAGAAATTTCTAAATTATTCAAAAAGATTATATTATGTAAAAATAATTCTTTGCTTACTTCCATCCCATGTTCAACCATTTGTCTTGCATAGAATTGTCCAGGCCCGATTGAATTAGCGTTTCTCGCAACAACAAAGCCGATTCCGTAAATACGCGCCAACTCCCTGGCTTTGGAAGCACAATAATTCCCAACTGTTACCCCCAAAAGATTAGAGCCATCAATTATTGCAATACCGTCTCTTTCTTCAACAACAATTGGTTGTCCTCAAAGAAGTGTTTTTAAATGTTTAATCGTATACCTATATTAAAAACCTTCTACATTTATATCATTCATCGCAATTTTTGTAGCGGTCATTTCTAAACTTCCTAATCCATCACTAGAATAATATTATATGTATAAGTATAAAAAGAATTAAACAAACACAATATAGCCATCGGTATCTGCAAAGGCAAAAAGATTTGCAATATGTTGTGGTGAGTTAAATCCATTATTTGGGTCAGGTTTTAAACCCAGACTTTCCAAGAATCGAACAACAAATGAATGAACCTGAGAAAAAAGTTAAAAATGTTAGTCAGAACAAATTAACAATAGTATGCCTAGGTAAAATTCCTAAACCATTACCAAATTTTTACGGAAATTTTTTCGAATTTGAACAAAAAAGGAAATAAAATAAATTCATAAATTAAACCCGTTAAAACAGAGTAAATAACAAACTTCATTTCCTGCGGCAACAACAACGTCATCAGACAGAATAAAATCCTTATGGTTTCTTGAACAATGTCGGGCCCAATTATTGGCGCCTTGCTTTTCATTACACAACGGACATCGACCATCAACATTTAGTGGAATAAATGTTTGTCTTTTCTTTTTAATATTCCCCTGTTCGGCTACATTCTGAATTTGTTGCCCCGCAGTAGCTTAAAATAATTAAAAGAAATTTACCCTTCATATTTTTATTCTTACGAGTAGCTAACTTTTCCCTCAATTTTTTGGAGACAATTTTCCATTTATTAAATAATATCTGATGATCTTGTTGACTCTATAAAATATTTAAATAGACGAAATTAAGATATCTAGAAAAAGCCCTTCCTTCAGATATTATAAAAAACTAACTTTGATTCCTTTCAACTGATAATATGCATTGAGGGGTGAGAAAAATTTTAACTAACAGAAAACTCTTTACAGAATCCTAAGAGCTATCAAATTAAAAATGACCAAGACCTAGCTCTATTTCACGGATATGAACTCAATATTAAATTTCAAATTAATACGATCCCAAAAAAATAAAAAATACCACAAAGTTGAAATTAATGTTCTCCAAACCAAGGTCAACATCCATTCCGGGTACGTTTGCACCAAGTTCCTCCATCTAATAATTTATTTAAAGAAAATAAAGGATACAAAGATATTTATGTATTAGTATTTATTTTTATGATGTTCATAAAAAGAATGTAGTAGTAATTGGAGTTGTAAGATTCTAAACGATTTCTGAATTAATTTTGCTATAATCAGTCACAACAGGGCCAAAAATAAACTTTTTAGAATGTATACTACTTTGTGTTATACTAAAAAAAATGGGTACACAAATGTTAATGCCCATTCCTTTTTAAGAATATTTTCACAATCACTTTTAAATAATTCAAAGACAAAAAAGCTTATATTTATAGTGTATAAAAGAGTCTCATTAAAATATACTCGGAGTTCTTTTGGGGCTTAACCATTAGTAATAAAGAGAAGCTCTGATTGATTTAAGAATTTGAACTAGGGTAGCTCCCCGTCCCTCAAAACCTCGACCCCCGACCCTACCCCGACGATTTTTTTGGTAAAAACCCCGAACCGAACACCGAAGGCTTTACCCCGACAAGCCCCGAGTCGGGGTCGGGGTAAAACATACACCCCTAAAGATGGGAATTTTTCGGAAATTTGAATGACCAAAATACATTTTGGCAAAATATTTTTCCCAAAGGCTCCCCGACTTTTCGTCAACGGACTTTCCGTCAATGGACTTTCCGTCAATACTTTTCGTCAATGGACGGACTTTTCATCAATAAATGAACGCTTTTAAAAAATTTAGGACAACGTAAACTTATGGGGCATCGACGAGGCGTTTTGCGGCACGCGCCTCGCAGGGAGTCAACGGTCGCTGGATTATGAGCTCGTAACATAAACCTATTCCTTTTTACCGATTTTCAGCCTTGAAAAGCCTACCCATCTTTCGTAGCAACACAAAAATAAGTTTGCCCAGCGAAAATTCAGTTGCTCATATCTGTGTCCAGAATTTTCAAAACAGTCTAATTTTCAATCTGACACGATTTAACCAAAAGTTTTACACTTTTATATACATGTATCATCTTCTCTTTCTCTTAAAATTAATAAAAAACATCCATTCATTGACGAAAAGTCCGTTGACGGAAAGTCCATTGACGAAAAGTATTGACGGAAAGTCCATTGACGGAAGGTCCTTTGACGAAAATTCGTGCCACCTTCCCAAATTATTAGAAATGTCAAAATATATATAATAATTTTTCATTTATCTTTAGAGAGATGTTTGGTTTAGTGGGTAAGTTGATGGGCAACACTGTTCATACGGTTGGGTTCGAATCGAACTATGAGGATCAAATTTATTTTAGATTTTTTTGTTCCAAAAATGAAGTTTAAGCTTTTAATTTTGATCTTAAACTTGCAAACTTATTTTTAAATATTATCAAAAGTGAGGGTGTAATAAAAAAGAATCTGCACATTCTTTTATTTATAAATACATGTTTTTGCGTCTTGAACGCTAAAATGACGATTTTGAGTGCATTCTGCAGCTAAAAATAAAAAAATTTTCGCCTGCGGCGCTGAAATTTAAATTTAAGAATTGCTAATGAAACCCCGACACCTGACCCCGAACCCCGACCCAAAAGTCAACCCCGAAACCCGACATGCCATCTCCGGCAAACCCCGATCCCCGACACTTTCGACCCCGAATGCTCGGGGAGCTACCCTAATTTGAACTATTGAACACAAGAAAGTGTGTCAAAAGAGAATTCCAGACGAGACTCTTTTGGGGGACGGATGTATTTCAGAACAGCTGAACGAGGAAACATATCTTTTCTTAGTAAGCCGAACTGAAAAGTTTTATGAGCTAGGTATTTAATACCAAAATATTTCTGGATTTAAAATATCAGAAGATGAGCAGAACACAATTTTCAAAATTAACAGAAAAATTTCTACTAAAATAATAGAGATTTGTTTTAGTAAATATGTAGAATAGACGAAATTTTCGGCTATGTATAAATAATCATTAAATCTATGACAAGCTCACCATCCGTTTTAGGTCATATTTGCCTTCCATAATGTCTTTAAAAATTTTTAATCCATTACGATTACGACCTATTGCAATAAAGAACTGTCTCTAAAAAGTAAGTTGAAAAAGGTTAAGATATTTTGACCCAAACAATTCCTCTCCCCCAATTTCATTTTAATCTGATGCCTTTTGTCAACTAAATCAATCAGAAGGATTAATTATATGGGATATAAAAATTTACAAAAATCTCATTCCCTCAATTAAAAAATCTTCATGAAAATTATGTTTAAACGAGGATTTCGACCCATAAATTCAGGAGCTTAGATTTTTATTCATGGAAACCTTAAAAGTGGTTTTTGAGGATATGTAAATGAGGGCTAATTTTATTTATTTTTAAAATTTTCAACGTTATTTTCCACAAATCAATCTAAAAGATTACCTCTCTTTTTATCAAAATTTTTCCAATAAAAAAATAAATAATTTTGGAAGTAGTTAACAGAATTTTAATGTGCTTTCTCCAATACTTTCCAAATAATTGCATTTTATATTTATAAAAACAAGCTTTTTTATTTGCCATTAAAGCACGTTTCTCGTAAATAGATAAACTAAAAAATTATTTTAAAAATTTTCAATTTTGAGTTGCTCTCCGTATTTAATAAATGAGATGAGGATTAACTTTAATTTAAATTTTTTTAATATTAAATTTTATCTCACTGAAAATCATTCTTTTATTATATACAATTAATCAGAAATTAAAAATTAATTTGGCACAATAAGAGTGATTGGACGGTACCGTATTACCGATTAATTTTTAAAATTAATTTTTGACTTACATTTGAAAATATTTTTTTGTAAAATGATCCAAAAAATTATTTGGATATGTTGACGCTTTAAATATATCAACTAGCAATTCAAGAGGCATTGAATTGTTTTCTTTTTTATTTTTTAATAATTTTTTTGAATTAATTTGTTTTTGTTGTTTTGAATTCATAATTTCTTTAAATTTTAATTTTTTGATTAAAATATTTTAACAAAAAATATTTTTTTAAATTAAAATGAAAATCTCCATTAATATTTTTAGTATATTTTGTTTCGCCCGCCTCTTTTCTTTACTCCTAAATACTTTTTCTCCATCCAATTCTTCATTTGTGGTGGAGGAAAGTGAAGAACTTATAAATAATGAAAATAAATATTTAAGAGAAAAAGAAAAATAATTTAAATTTAACACATTTTTTGTTAATTATTATAACAAAATAATTATTAAGATTTAATATACATATAAATAAGATAAGGATAAATAAAAATAGTGTATAAAATAAATGCTGTGAAAATTTATGTAATGTTTTTGAAAAGTTAAAAGTTTTTAAAATTGTTTAAAGTTTTCTTTTATATATTCAGTTGGAAGGATTTTTATTGTACATAACATGTACAATCTTTTTGAAGAGCTAAAATTTATTGTTAATTTCCCCAAAAATTTGTAATTCTCACGGCATTCGTCAAAGAAATACTAGCTCTTTGCCACTTTAACAGGCAAGAAAAGGAGAAAGTTAAAAATATTTATAAAATTAATTAAGTAGAAATTTGTGAAAGGTCCCTTTTAAATCTAAATTATTTTCAGTAAAACAATTAAAATTTATTTAAAATTCCAGAACATTTTCTTTAAAAAATGTTTATTGCGTTTCAATTTATTTTTGTATTATTTGTTTATTTTCTCACAACAATTCCCTTGGCTGTAATTAGCTCTCACGGCATTCGTCAAAGAACTTCAACAGGCAAGAAAAGGAGAAAAGTTTTTTTAAATAAAAATTAAAATTTTAAAGATTATTGATAAAAGTAAATCCCAATTAACTTCACTTTCATTATTAAATAATAATTTACCTAAAAATTCTAATGGGGGAAGAAGGCAATCAAATAATGTTAAAAATTATTGTAATTATTGCAATAAATGCTTAAATATTTTAATTGAGGAATTAAATATTAAATTTTGTTTTGTTCAAAATAAAGGTTAGAAAATTTATTTTATAGGGTTTTTTTCCTTTTTTGCTTCCAAAAATCTGTCTTATCGCTTGTAGTAACAGGCCCGAAATGTAATCTCGCGTTGAAATTCTATGCAATTAATTCTTTCAGTAGTTACTTGTTCAAACAAAAAATTAGAAGATAACTCGATTTATTATTACTATATTCTGACTAATATATGTGATAATTAAACGTAGCTCGTTGAGCCACGTTGAATGAGCTATCATTTGTTGATGATCGGACGGTAACTTACTACCGACAGTATTTTTCGGTATTTCGGTTATACATATTTCGGTATTATGGGTATTTTATTGGTATTTTCCATCAGTATTTATCGGTCACTACAAGGCACTAATAGAGGAGGCTTTTACAAGTACTTTTCAATTAACTAAAACAAATTATAGTAAATTCAACAAAACATTCAAAAAGAGAAAGTTGTATTCAAAACAAACGAGAAATAAACAAAATATCAAATAAAAATTTGTTGGGCTCTGTTTCGCACCTTTCTTCTTTTGGTTGTTTAGAAACAAATA